TCCGAAGGGGCCCGTTTGGTTTCGTTCTCCATCCCACGCCGCTCGGTACCGCGAAGAAGTTTCGTCTCCTGCAACGTAGGTTCGTACTGAAGGTTTTTTTTATTCCCTTATGCGCTACAGTGTCCGTGGCGGTGATGTCGGTGGACATGGGCAGTGAATCGATGAAGATTGCTATCGTGAAGCCCGGGGTGCCGATGGAGATCGTCTTAAACAAGTAAGCGACTGTTTTTCAAGCCTATCGTGATACTGACGTCAAAGATTTAACGTGGGGGGCTCTCGTCTGGTTTACTGGGGCTTGGAACATCATTGTAAAAGCTGTAAGGAGGCACCGATTAAGGGTAACGAGGGTTCAAGTAATGCTGTGCGTCTGTTGTGAGGAGAACACACCCATCCTCTAATTTAGGGTTTTCTGACTCCCTTCCTGCCCCAGGTGAGCAGCTACTGAGTGTTATTCAGAGCAGCAGTTCAGTTTTCAGTCTTAGCTTAGGAGTGCTTGGTTGTACTTTGGGGACCTTTTAAGCAAGGAACCACAAACCTGTGTCATTAAGGATATGTTGTGGTTCAGATGTGAAAGGGTGTAGTATCAACTTCTTGCCTATCCAGTTAAGAGGAGTGATTCTCAGTTCTCCATAAGGGAACCCGGAGGCAGGTTTGTTTTGCTGCAGCGATTCAGAACCCATACTTGTTTGTGAGGCCAATAAAGCTCTCCTTTCACTTGGCTGCTCTTGCTGCAGCCTGTCCCCGAGACACTGAATGAAAAATCTGCGGTTGGGAGAGGATGTACGGTCAGGAACATCCTCATTTTCTAGGAGTCTAGACTGAGAGATAATAAATGGATTTTTCACACAGTTATCTGAAACTTGGCAGTTGTCGATAGAATGAGGGAACTGTCTCGCCTTGCTTGCTGGTGGAGGAAAGCAAGAATAAAGCAAGTCTTGCCTAAGTACGAAACAACACGTTCCAGAAAGGTGCTTGTGAACTGTTCTTTGTGGCAATTTGTTTTGTTGTAATCTTATGTTAGAGAGTTGAGAATGCTTTATTAGACATTTGGAAGTGGGTAGCGTACACTGAGCTTGGAGGACAACTTTAAGCCATTTTGTAGTTATCACAGTGAAATACTTACCTTACTGTGCTAATGCATGAACTGGAGCAGAAATTAATCACCTCGTGTTAAGTTGTCTTGTGTGATGGGAAAAATAACAATCTCTCTACCACAGCTTTGACTGTGAATTTGAAAGATGTCTGTCTGTGTTTCGATAAAACACGTTATTTGCCTGTGTCACAAGGAGTATCAGGAGGTATGAAAGCTGTGAAAAGAGGTGCTGCTGTTGCAGCCCTTCACGTGAACACAGACTGGCCTTCTTCTCTATAAATGGTATCCAAGCACCTTTCCTTAGTCTTTCTGAAGCGGAAACAACACCCTTCTTCACTAGGGACTCTGTACTGATTGTTCACCTGTTTCGACTGGTTTATTTCTCTCTTTCTACACAGGGAATCACGAAGGAAAACACCTGTGGCTGTTTCTTTGAAGGAGAACGAGCGTCTGTTTGGCGATAGCGCACTAGGAATGGTAAGAGTTCTTGTTATTCGTTGTGCCAACTGCAATTCCTGTATGCAGAATATATATTCCCACTACTGGGTCCTTCGTGATAAATGTCTGATCTAGGAAGCTTTATTTCTTGTGCTTTACTTCTCATCTCCTTGGTGCATTACTGACTTTCTGTACTGGCTCTTAGCATACCAGTCTTGCGCTCCTAACTCCCGCATCAAGACACAGCTTGGGAGAGGGTTGTTTGACAACAGCAAAACCAGAGAAATGCAGCTGGGTGATGTGCTTTTTCTTTCTGCAGTCCATAAGGACCCCCAAGGTGGCATTCAGATATTTTCAGGACCTGCTGGGTAAGCGTATCGATAACCCCCATGTGGCACTGTACCAGTCCCGATTCCCAGAGCACGAGCTGGTGAAGGATGAGAAAAGGCAGACGGTTATCTTCAAGCTATCTCAGTAAGTGGCTGCTTCTGGATTCCTTGTGGGTGGGACTTTGGCTACCAGGCTTCTACAGCTGGCTCTGTTGTTGCTGTAATTTTCTTTCCTGTGTGTTTCTTGTAGAACGATACAGTATTCTCCAGAGGAGATGCTGGGGATGGTCCTGAACTATTCACGTGGTCTGGCTGAGGAATTCGCAGGTTGGAAGGATTTAGCTGGTTTTTTTACAGTATCTCTGTGTGTGTGTTTGCATATTATAGGATTTGAGTAGAGACTGAAAGTGTTTGAAAACCCACAGATTTTTAGAACCAGGATGTTGGCTCTCTTCAACTGTAGACTGTAAGCAAGACTTAGCAGCTATCAGGTTATCATTTGTTTCTAATATGATGTGAGTTTGGGGTCTTAATCCTGTTCTTGGGGGCAGATCCCACCCAGCCTTGCAGTGAAGGAGACTTAACTGGCAATCTGTGGGGAAACAGTAAAGTGTTTTGTCACTTGCACGTGTGACTAGAGCGGAGGCGTGTCGGTAGGTAACTTCAGGGGAAGATGGAAGTGGCTCTGTGAAGTCTGTGTTGCAGTTGGTCTGGATGGAGGCTTGCTGCTGGAGCTGAACTGCAATTAAAGAGCAAAAACTGCCCTCCACTGTGAAACTTGCTAGCTGTTGTGCTTTTTCATGGTGTGTTGCTAATGAAATACCACAGTAATGAAAATTGAGTGAATTTCATTGATGTATTTGACTTGCATCATTAGTAGTGGGCTGTGTGTTGTTTCGTTAGTAATATTAAAGCCAGTCGAAAGACTTTTTACTCAGAAGAGTGAACGTAATCCAGTGATGAAGTAAGGCTCTATGAAGATAACATTAGTTGAAATCTAAGGCATTGCAAAGCATTTGAAAGTATTCTAACATGTGAAAGAGAGGTCAGTAGACACGAGGCTTTGCAGGAATCTGTGAAGTCTGCTTGGTTTCAACAGGGCACGGAGAGATTGATCCCTAATGATCCTGGCTGCTGGTGCTGCTTCAGGGTTGCATTCTGTACCAGTCTTTAACTTGGATTCTCTGGCTTTGCTAACATTAGCCCGTTATAATGAGTCTTTGCACATGGCTACACTGATGGAAACACATGTTCCCTGCAACTCTTGTAGAGCAGCCCATCAAGGACGCGGTGATCACAGTTCCTGCCTACTTCAACCAGGCGGAGAGGCGAGCGGTTTTCGCATGGCTGACTTGAAGGTGCTGCAGCTGATCAATGACAACACTGCTGTAGCGTTGAACTATGGAGTTTTTAGGAGGAAAGACATCAATGCCACCGCACAGGTAGGTTGCAGTTGAGATACAGAGAGTCCCGTGCAAGTGCCTGCATGTGGGGGAGAAAGTACTGCAGATAAAATCAAAAGGACTTAAAGCAGGCTTTGCTAGTCAACCAGTCTCCTCTGTTTTCATGTGTTCATTAACAAAACAAAGACATGAAACCCCATGTGAATATGTGGTGAAGCCTGAAAACTTTTGGAATGAGGGCAGGTGGCTGAGAGTTCCAGTTTGTAAACCTGTGTTTACTCCTTGCCTGTTGACCAGAGGGGAATAACTGTAGCGATTTTTCTAAGGTATTGGAAGACCGACTCTGAAATACTTGCTTTTCCTGAGAGTGACGAAACTTTTAAAGAGCAAAGCTTTGGTTTTTGATCTGTGAAATGGATGAGAAGTTTTCTTGTCGGCTTGTGTCAAGCATGACCCTGAAGGTCTCCTGTGTTTGATCAAAGTACAAGTCCTGTCATTACGATATAAAGCCACTCTAGGGAGCGGATAGTCTCAGCCTGTATCAAGCTCGGAAAGCCATGTGTTCTTTCCTTATTTGTGGGGGATATCCAGGTGTTTCTGCTTCACTGTCCCAGCTTCTCTTTTCAGAATATCATGTTTTACGACATGGGAGCAGGAAGCACCGTTTGTACTATTGTTACCTATCAGACAGTGAAAACTAAGGACTCAGGAACCCAACCTCAATTGCAGATCCAGGGCGTTGGGTAAGAATTCAACATGAGTTGCACAAAACCCACAGGTCTCAGGAAAGAAACCATTTGTTTCGCCTTCTCTTCTAAACGTAGAATTTTGCAGTGAGGCTTCAGCACAGTAATTTGGGCGGCAGGGTGGAAAACGTTTGGAGCAAGAAGGCTCCAGTTGGTAATAATTCTGGTGTCGCTGTCTTGTGCGGAAGTTAACATAATTTCCAAGAGCCCAGGAGGGAACCAGTACACTTAGTTTGCTTCAGGCTTGCTTTTTTCATAGCCTCGAGCCATTTAAGTGTAATTCCACTTCATATAATCTTTTAGAAGTGGAGTGTGTCAGTTGGAAAAAGTGGAATGTAATTCTAGAGAGGAATGAAAACGTAGCGCACTTAGGTGTTGCCAAATAAGGAGGAGGCTGCTGTGAACAGCCAGGCCCACAATTTTAATTCCAAAGCATTTATGCTACAGTCTCCAAGAAAATACGTGGGACCTGAGACAACTATCCTTTGGCTTCTCAACTATTTAATATGCTTGGCAATAAGACCTTTACCTAAAATGAAGTTTCCTGCTCAAAGGCAGTGGTGGTAGCGACTCTTTCTTTTCTTTGTTTTATCGTAATATGTTATTTTTTGGAACAGCTGATAGTACTGCAGCTACTTTTGACCACTTGCTGCTCTGCGTATTTGTGAAATAATACATGACGTTTGTTTGTGTTTCGACTTGGTTGAAGTTGTTACACCTTCAGTCCTTCTCTTGCTCAGGTTTGACCGTACTCTTGGAGGCTTAGAGATGGAGCTTCGTCTCCGGGACTATTTGGCGAAACTCTTTAATGATCAGCACCCTTCAAAAGATGTCAGAAAAAATCCCCGGGCCATGGCCAAACTACTGAAGGAGGCCAACCGCCTGAAAACTGTCCTGAGTGCAAATGCTGACCACATGGCACAGGTCTGACCCTCTGTCTCAGGGTTTCTGTTTTCTTAGGACTGAGAGTGGTGTGGGTTAAGGATGGGTGCATAGGAACACTGCCTTTCTGCAGCATCAGTGTGCTAAACAGCATTGGTCCTGGTGTTCCGGGCGTGGTGGTGGCACTGGTGGTCCCTCTCAACTTACGCCGCTTGGTAGCACTAGTGATTAAGTGAGTGGATTGGAGGAGAGTTGTTCGTGTGAAGTTTATTAGATAAACTTTCACTGAGAGAAGCTGTCTGTTACATCCGTGTTGCATCCTCTCGTCACCTTAGCAGTGGCAGGGTTCAGATGAGTGTGGTCAAGCCCTAGCTGCGTTAAGCAAGCTGGAACTTTTTGCACACTGAGGAAGTCAGGTAAAGATTTTGCTTGGAGAAGGTTCCACCAATAATTTCACTCTGGCTGATTTCTTTTCTGGACAGATTGAGGGGCTACTGGATGACATTGACTTCAAGGCCAAGGTCTCAAGGCAAGAATTTGAGGATTTGTGCTCTGACTTGTTCCAGCGAGTCCCAGGACCTGTGCAGCAGGCTCTGAGCAGCGCAGAGATGAACCTGGTATGTTTAAGAAAATGCATTAACAAGCTTGAAGTTTCTGTGTACGGAGCTGCTGTCGCATCATGATCAAGGCATCAGTGATTGTGTTATCAGCACTGCTGAGGTACCGATGCCTGTTATTGTAATAGAGTGGTGTTAGTGCTGCAGAGAGTTTACTTCCTGCAGCGTCAAGCAGGAGTCTGTCATGGCTCCCTGTGCTGTCCACCAGAAACGGAAGACTTGGAGGAGGGGTTTCTTTCTGTTAAAAAACTTTACTCTTGGGCTGGAGGTTTGAAATGCTGATCTTTCCTTGTTTTGTCTCGGATACTGGTTCTGCTCTCGCTCCTGAAGTTTTAACTCAAAGTGCCTGGATGCAGAATTATTGCTGTTTAGGCTGCTTCTTTAAGCACTCCCTTTAGAAGCCCTGTTGTGGACCTGCAGTTGGACCAAACGCAATGCAGTCCTTTGGAGAGACTTACCGCATTGTTAAATGCTTACTTTTCAGGGTGCCAGGACGCTCTTGAGCATCTTTTGGGTCTGGTATTCAATGCAAGACACTGAGTCGCCTCTTAAAGTCCAGGTTTCCATCTGTTCTGGTCCAGCTTGCTGTCTGAGTCACTGGCTCCTCTGGCATTAAGCTATAGCCAGTCTTAATTTTGTGTCAAGTCCCGCATTTCAGGTGACTTGAAGCAGCGGTCATGTTGTCCATGTTTGACAGACTTGACTCCATGTTGGCACGGCTTGTGTAAGTCTGCCTGAGGTCTGTCAGGCACTGACCCGGACTGGGACGGCAGGATGTAGCATGGGTGTTCTCAGAGCAGCACATCAGTGCGTGGTGACCGGGGAAGGAGCGTAAGGAAGCCCTGAACTTAGCCTTCCAAAATTGCTTTCTCAAGACAAGGTGACTGTTTCCAATCCCTAGGATGGAATTGACCAGGTGATTCTAGTTGGCGGTGCCACACGGGTCCCCAAAGTGCAGGAGGTTTTGCTGAAAGCTGTGGGCAAGTGAGTATGTGAGGCCCCCTTCTAGTCTGTCTCCTACTGACAAGTCGCTGTTTATGGCAGCGGCTGCAAAGCTGATGCCTGTTGCTTTTCACTTCATAGAGAAGAACTGGGCAAGAACATCAATGCCGATGAGGCTGCTGCTATGGGTGCAGTTTACCAGGCAGCTGCTCTGAGCAAAGCCTTTAAGGTGAAGCCTTTCGTGGTTCGGGATGCTGCTGTGTTTCCCATCCAGGTAACCCTTGGCTTGCTTTCTCTTGTGTGAGGTATGGGTGAATGGGGCTGTGCTGGGAGATATGTTCCAGGTGACCTGTTGGTCTCCTTCAAGTAAGGAAGCTGTGGATGTCTTTCTGCCAATCTAATAAAGGAAGCAGAAGAAAATCTTCTGTATTGTAGAACTGCGATATCCAAGAAGTCAGGGATACAGAAACATCTGTTGGGAAATACTTGCCTGTCCCCCAACTTTTGCATGAGGCAGAGCTGCGGAAACCGCTGACGTAGGATGCTGTAGAGGAAGCCAGCAGTTGCTGAGTCATGTTTTCTGTTTGTGATACAGGTGGAGTTTACTCGTGAAGTTGAGGAGGATGATAAATCCAGGAGTTTAAAGCATAACAAGAGGATTTTGTTCCAGCGCATGGCGCCTTATCCACAGCGCAAAGTTATCACTTTCAACCGCTACACAGATGACTTTGAGTTCTACGTCAACTACGGAGATCTGTCTTTCCTGAGCCAGGATGATTTGCAGTGAGTTGAGCCCAGCACCTGAGCAGACAGCTCCATGGTAGTGCAATATTCCTAGCTGGAAATTTTATTGTCAGGCAGGCCCACGTGTCTGACTGGGCGCCAGCACGTATTTGCAGATCTGTTCTCCGAGTTGCATGCACTTCAGCGAACTGAACCGTGCCAGTTCCTTGCTTTGTGCAGTTGTCCATCGCTGCAAATGTGACTGCGAGAAGCAGTTAGCTGTTCTGCAGCGATGTTACCCTGAATTTTCTCTCTGCTTTTGTCTCTGTCATCAGGATTTTTGGTTCTCTCAATCTCACTACCGTGAGGCTGAAGGGAGTTGGGGACAGTTTCAAGAAGCACTCGGATTATGAATCCAAAGGCATCAAAGCTCACTTCAACATGGATGAGAGTGGAGTACTAAGCCTTGACCGGGTAAGCACCATCCTATTGTGATGTTTGTCAGCCTATGTATTTTCTAGTTCTGTCCCTCTCTCTGGTGTTGATGGTCCTTGCTTGAAACTAATTCTCTGCTCCTCTTTCCCAGGTGGAATCTGTGTTTGAGACCTTGGTGGAAGACAAGCTGGAGGAGGAGTCAACACTGACAAGTAAATGCTGAACTTCAGTATTCATACTGACTGTTGTGTTTTTATCTGTAGTGGCCGAGATAACAAGCATACTGTTTCTTTGGGTTTGGGGTGTAGAAGTTAAGCAGTTAGCCTTAGTCTCTGTGTATACGGCTCCAAAATACTTTAAAGCCCTTTGCAGGTGGCTGCTGGGTGCTGACAGGAGCTCTGAAACGTCAGGTGCTCCTAAGGTGACTATGGCATGCAGTGCAACTAGAAAAATAAGAGTTGTTTCCTCTTTCTGCAGCCATAGCTGCTAATTTCAGGAGGTCTGTCCTGAAGGGAAGTCCTGCATCCACAGCCCTGCAGCATTCTCCCTTCTCATTCTCTGGGTTGTGATGCCCTGATCTGTGCTTTGCATTGCTCAGGTTTTAGACCACAGAATTGCCTATAGAGAGGAGTTGGAAATCTGCATGTTTGGAGGTGAAGGGGAGATGCAGGGATGGCTAATGCAGCCACAGGTTGAAGCTTGAAGCTTTTGAGTTGAAGTTGCAAATTTCAGGTCATATTCCAGCAGAGGTAGAGGCCTTGCTTGTCTGTGCGTGCAAAAAAAAAGCAAATTGAGGTCAGGGAAGGATGAGTTTCTGGAGTGTATGTAGCTAACCTAGACTGCCAAGAGAGCTCCTTGGTGATCACTATGGTTGTGAGGGGGAGAACTGAGAGCTGAAGACTACTTTCTTCCTCCTTTGGATACATTATGTCCTGATGTTTTGTTTCCCATCAACAGAACTTGGAAACACCATCTCGAGCCTCTTTGGGGGTGGTGGCCCTACGCCAGAGACTGCGGAGAACCTGACAGACTCGGTTCAGGTGAGCCCCATGGCGATTGTTAGCAGGAGGGAGCCCCTGGGTTTTCCTATGGCCGCTAAAGAGGCAGTGATTCATGTGAGCAGAATTAAAGGTGTCTGGCAGCATGTCAGGATTTTAAATATTTTCAGAAAGTGCTATATTCCTCTGGAGTTTCACGTGGCATGTGTTTAAAGAAACTTGTGATCTTCTGCTGGTAAGTCCAGCAGTGGTGGACTGGTGTTACAGGACTTGTTTCTGGGGAGGTGTCCTGTTTCTAAATCGCCCGTTGCAGTGTCGATAGGCTTCTGCCTGTGTGTTGTCTGTGCAGGTGTCTAGCAGGCTCCTTGCTTTCTCCCGGGCTGTATAGGCACAACTGCTGTTATGCTGGCAGTAGTGATTAGGTTTCCTTCTAGTGAGATGGAAGCTTCTTGTCACAGAGTTATGTCCTGCACTGAAGTAACTCTTAATTAACGTTCTAGCTCAGTACAGTCCCTTGGTAATGGCTGCAGTCACTGTGAGTGCTGTTTTTCATACATATGTTTTTGGCAGAGAATTACCTGTTCTGTGAAACATTTGCATGGAATTTCTGTATTAAAAACAGTGTTTTGGTTTCCCCTTTACTTGCATGCGATGACCAGGAAGAAGAAGAGAGCCTAGCCGAAACAGGTAAAGAAGAGCAGGGGGAGAAACAAGACCAGAAAAGCAGTGCAGAGGATGTCGGTGAAGAGCAGGGAGAAGAGAAACAGCAGTCTCCAGGTCAAGCAGAAACTGCCCCTCCAAAAGCAGAGTCGCAGAAAAAGGAAGAAGGGGAGAAATCAGAGTCTCAAGTGAGCATCAGATTGAAGGAACGGGAGTGTGATTTCAGTGTCTGTGAAGCGGGATTTCCTCAGTGGAATCCTTCTTTCCCTGTTAGTGACCTGCCTTGGAAAAAAGTTGCAAAACCTGCAAATCTTTTCCCTTGTCTGAGTACGTACTTTATCTGTTACAGGATCCCAAAGAAAATAGAGAAACTGCAAAAGACGAAGAACCATCCAAAAGTTCTGGTGACAGCACAGTTACCAAAACAGAGGAAGAGAAGAAGATCAAAGCACCCAAGAAGCAGAAGCTCGTCCATGAGATCACCATGGAACTGGATGTAAACGATGTGCCTGACCCGCTGGATGATGAACTGAAGAGCTCGATGAAAAAGTATGTTTGAAATGGCTCTGCTAGGTTAAAGCTCTAGATAAAGGAATCAAATTGCTTTGGAATCGTGATAGCTCACGTAGCGCTGCCATCCTCAGAAGCTTATGTATATGATGTGGCGCTCATCTGAAGGCACTTGCTACCTTTGATTTCTGTTGGCTGTAGGCTCCAAGACTTGACGGTCAGAGATCTAGAGAAACAGGAAAGAGAAAAATCGGCCAACAGCTTGGAGTCATTCATCTTTGAGACCCAGGTAAGAGGGATATGAAGAAAAGAGAATTCCTGGAAGGCAGGTAGAAGTGTCCTATGCAGTGTATGCATATCCTCTGAATGCAGAGGAGTCGTTTGAGCTGGGGGAAGCTGTTTTGAAGAGCCTAGCTTTCATTTTTCAATCACTTTTTCTGCTACCATTAGGCTTCCTAAGCCCTTGTGGACTTGGGAGGTTTCCTCGCAGCAAAACGAACACTGTTTTTCAGCATGTCTAACACATTAAACTTTGGGTTTTCGGTATCCCTTATGTGCGCTTACCTGTGTGCGTTGAAACAATTGCCCCAAGGGCGTAAAGAAACTGCAGCTTCTCAAGAACTGTTGTGCAAAAGAGGCAACTAATGTTAAGTGTATGTGAAATTATGGTTGTTGCAGCTTTACCATCATATACCTGCTGTGAGCGTGTGTGTCTCTACCTGGTGTATTACCATCATGCTCCTGGTAGTGCTACAAGCAGGAGCTTGGATTTGGGAGGGTTGAATGAGAATCTCCTGGCCAGTGCAGGCAGCACCCCAGGAGTTCGCAGTCCAGCCCGGTTGCAAGTGGGTGACTTGGTGGTTTTATGCTTCCATGCTCAGTGGTATTTGACACCGTCAGTTCTTTTTGTCCTTTTCAGGACAAGCTTTACCAAGAGGAGTATCAGTTTGTCTCGACAGAGGAGCAGAGGGAAGAAATTTCCAGAAAGCTTAGCGAGGCTTCCAGTTGGATGGAGGAGGAGGGCTATGCAGCCACAACTAAGGTATTGCAATGTGTAGTCAGGATAACAGTCTGCTGTCACTGACGTGGAAATGACCACGCAGACTGACAGAGTAGTGATCCATTTTGATCCTTTGTAATGTGGTTCTTGAAAGCTGCTTGCTTCTCGAGTGCGTTATGCACAGAACAGAATATGAAGTTCTTCCACAGCGTCTTCCACAGCTTCAGCAGTAACCTGGTGATTCCGCATAAAGCTTATTCACATGGCTCTCTTTACTGTATTGAAATAGTATATTTGATAGAATGACAAAACCTGCAGTTTTAACTTCTGAGGTTTATAATATTAGATAGTGAGCAAACTAATGATCTCCTTTCCTCTCTCTCCCCCATTTGCAGGAGCTGAAAGACAAGCTTTCAGAGCTGAAAAAGCTTTGTAGGAACGTCTTCTTCCGTGTCGAGGAAAGGAGAAAGTGGCCAGAACGCTTGGCTGCCCTGGAAAGTCTGCTCAACCACTCAACCATCTTTCTCAAGTAAGAGCAAGCTGTTGGGAAGGAGAGTTGCGCAGCTGATAATGTAAGAGATGCCAACAGAACATGACCAGATTGAACATGGCTTGAAGGTCACTAGCGCTTCTTGAGAAAAGACCAAAACTCTGCATATTAATGCTCAGTTCTGCAGAACCCATTAACATAAGCACGCAAGCTCTGTTTAATCTAGGGGAACAGGAAATGTCCAATGCTGTACATATCGTTTGCAGGCAGACTTTTCCATCTTGGTTCTATGGCCTTAGCTTTTTCCATCTTCCCTGTTTTTCTGATCTCATGATAGCTGCATTTGCTAGCTCTGTGTTCCATTCTTAGCATCCAGAGATTGATTTAGGACTCCCATTTCCTGCAGATGCAAGAGACATAAATGTCAAATGTACTCATTTGTTGGTATGTGCAGTGGCTGGTTATTGTGATTACTGGAGCTGTAAGCACTGAGTTGTCAAGGTACAGTCTGTTTGGCTTAACAAAAATAAACTTTCTTCTTATTTTTAAGGGGAGCCCGAATGATTCCAGAGTCTGACCAGATATTCACAGAAGTGGAACTGAGTACACTGGAAAAAGCCATCAATGAAACAATGGTAATAAAGGATAGAATGATTCTGGGGGAGGGTAGGGGTGGCAGTTGGGGTCATGTTTCCTGGCGTGTACGTTCACTCGGGGTCATGGAATAGAGTGTGTATGTTTTGTTTCCATGCCACCAGTGAACTTTGTGTGTTTCAGTGTTTTGTAATGCTTAGCTGGACCCCAGACTGCTTTGGGGCAATAATGGTTCTTGTGTTGCGTGCGGAGAGCTGTCTTCAGGAGAGGTGGTGTAGCCTAGTAATTTGGCTGCGTGCAGTTTTTAAAAGCAGCCGCTGGGTTTTGAGGGTTTTGTTTCTTTGTTTTGTCCTATGTCTGGGTAACTAAGAAGCTGGTGGAAATGTAGCAGGGAGCAGGGTTACCCCGAGTAAGTTAGAAGGCCCAGGAGCGGTGACTTTGAGATACTATGATATACAGTGGTTCCCAGAACCCAGGAGCATTCAAAAAGCACTTATTCACTCCCATCCCACAGCTCTGGAAAAATGAGACGCTGGCTGAACAGAACAAGCTCTCTCCTGCTGACAAACCTGTCCTGCTGTCCAAAGATATAGAGCTCAAGATAGCAGCCCTGGACAGGGAAGTGCAGTACCTTCTGAATAAGGCCAAGTTTGCAAAACCCAAACCCAGAAAGGAGAAGAACACCACAAAAACTGATTCAGGCAAGAATGCTACAGCATCCTCTGAGACTGAGAACACTATCCCTCCCACGGAGGGGAAACAAGAAGGTAAGGAGCAGGTGGGGAGCATGTATGTAGCTCCTAGTATATAATTGCCATGTGTAACACCCTCATCTCTCTGCCTCGAGTGAAAGGGAGCTAAATAAGTGAAGACAATGGTTAACTGTAGGATTAAATGATCCTCCTCTTAATTTTCAAGACAGCTGGGAAAATCTAGGTCTGGCAGTGTCCTTTTTCCCCCCACCATTTGTTTGGGTTTTTTTTCTGTGAAGGAGCAGAAAGTGTTTATAAACTTTCTAGGATGGTTAGTCAGTATCTGTCTGTCTGGCTGGTCACCTTATAAGAAAGGTAAGCCATCAATTGTGTTCTGGGTGTCCGGAGCCAAGTATTCAAGGTTGTGTCCTATATCAAGGAATAGAACAAGCTGTTGTTGAGAAAGGTTTGTGGCTTAGATGGACCCCAGGGGAAAAAAAAAAAGTAATCTTGGAACACTAAGACTTGCGGTTTTCTGAGCTTTTGAAGATCCTCAGGTTCCAAGTGCCCTGGTCCTTTTAAATCTAGACTGCTGTTTGTCAGCAGAGTTCCCTGCCAGCTCCTCTGGCCTGGCTGAGAGATCCTGCATATAGTCACAGCTCCAAAGGTGGCTTGCCTGTGCAACCAGTGAATCTCCAGGGCTTCTAGGGACGTAAAGCCTGGCAGACAGAGGCAGTGAGAAATAAGAAGCAGTTCTTTGATGCTTCTGAGTGTTGTAGGGAGATCCACTGTGAGAATGAAATATTACAGTCCTGCTGAGGCCCCAGAGTTGGCATGTTTTTAAATCTCGCTTCTGGTCTCCTAATCTCCCTGCAACTAGTCTCCTGCGTCTTCTTCCTTAACTCTTGTTTTTTTCTGCTTTAAACACAGACAAACCTGAGGATATTCATCCAGCCAAGGAACCTCCTACAGCTGAGAAAGTAGCAATAGATGGTGAGCCTGGATCAGACTCTGGTAGGTAAATGTTTGACTGACGGTCTGGAGCTTAGTAGCTACATGTGCAAGCTGTCAGTGGGCTTCTTTCCATCTTTTCAGCTGTAGGAGGCAGTAAGATGGTAGAACCCCTGATTGCGGATCAGTTCTTAATTCTGCAAAGAGGAAGACACAAAATTTAGTGCCTCGCTGTTCCTGCATTTTGATTCTTCGGTGTGAAGTTCTAACGTACCATTGTCTCCTGCCTCGGCAGCTGCTTTATGCCTCTCTCATTGCAGTTCATAGCCAGTCCTGTAGCTGTGAGCCCATCTTTGTTAAAGAGCTGATGTGCAGGCACGTGTTTATTCTGCCACTCCTATTGTGAGGACAGTAGTGTTCAACAGGTGGAGGGCAGCCATGTCCTCAGCTCTCTGGAGCTGAGTGTCAGTCCCCAAAGCCATCCCCCTGACTTCTGCACCACAGACTGAGAGTTTGGTGGAATACTTAATGAATGTCAGGGACTTCCAGCACTGCTTTGTGTGCTGTAAACGCTGTTAACAGCGTGTAACTGAGTTTGCTTCATTGCACAGGGTCCAAAAAAGAGAAGACAGAAGCTGGAGGAGAAAGCAGGAAAAACGATGAGTTATAACACCCCTGAAAACCCACTAGTGTCATCATCTATTTATTTCATGGTTACTTTCTTGTTTTTATAACGGACCTGGTTAGTCATGATGTAAATGGAACATGCCAAACAGTCTGACAACAAAATGGGATAGAGATGTAAATTTTTTTTCTGGGGATTTTGCCGCTACTAACTTAGTGAATTGGTTTTTGTTTTTCTTTTCTTACGTGTTTAAAGGTGGCAGTGTGCCCACCGAGAATTGTCTCTGTTTCAGTACAGAAGTCACTAAAGTGACTTTTCTGTGGAGAGAAAGCAGTAAAGAAACATCCTAGGCTTTAGGAAGTAACTTGGAACATTAAACTCTGTGCCACACCTCCTCTGGTGAAGGTAAAGGGAATTAATGCAGAAGCAGATGTAGCTGAGATGGTGTTGTCCTTGCATATGAGGCCCTGGCTTAACGAAACTGTGTGATTTCAACTGATGGGAGGTGTATTCTCATTTGGATTCATGAGAAGGTGGAACAGGACTGGGGAGGCAGATGCTCCATGCTTCAAGATACGAATGTGTCTCTTTTCCTTAGACGGTTGTTAAAACCATCTCTATCTGTGCTCCGTAGCAGAGTCCGAAAACCATGAATTGAGACTTGACAAAAATAATCTGCTTATAGTTTACTATAAAATAAAAAGTTCAGAAATGGCAACACCGAATGCTAAGGCGACTAAAAGAATAAATGTGTTAGCGCATCTTGTAGTCACAACACCAACTGAAAACGGACCGCGGAGGTGGCACACAGAGTTAGGCCAAAACAAAACTGGCAATTTAATCGTAACTATCCTCCTTCCTCGGTATCTTGTGTACTCGGACTGGCTTCATTGTGAACCTCCGTGTCCTTGGCCGTGGCCTCCTGACTCCTCGGGGATGCTCATGCTGCTGCAATACACGAGTGGAGTCTCTGACCGACTCGCGGACACCTGTGAATGTGCATCTGACGTTGTTCTCCATTTTGGCCTCTTCAACCAATAATAAAAAATGACACTTCCTGACGGTCTCCTAAAAACGGTTTCGTTTGTTTCGGGCAGTGCGGAGAGCTCACCTGCAGCCGCGGTACGTGCGCGGGGGTGGAACGGGGGCGGAACGG